CCTCCAGATTTTCTATGATGAAAGAAGGTCAAAATCTTAATCTTTAAATTATTTTTAGTCAGGAATTCTATTGCTTTCAGGAAAAACAAATCTTGATATGCTAAAGGTTTGAAATTTTAGGTACCTGGGGAGCCAGCAGAGGATTTTAACAGTTTTAGCAGCAGAGTGACCTCCTTTAACAGCCTTTTGGAGAATGGATTGGAAAAAGAAGAGAATAAAGGCAAGGGATCAGTTACATTCACTAGTCTTTATGACCCACCTTCACATACAGAGTTTTCACTGAAATGTAGTGTACTCTCTAACAGGAATGTTCATTTTTAACATTTTTATTAAAGAACAGATCAAGTTGCTGTGCCAAACACTATAGTCAACAGGTGTGTGGTCTGAGGGAAGCAAAGGGGGTTCATGGGACAGCCCCACAGCCCTCAACATATGGCTTTCAAGGTTTCTCTAGTCTTTGCCTTTTTCCCAGGTGGTGGGAAGAAGAAGGAGAGAAGCCAGGACAAGCATCTTTAAGTAGAAACCGAAAGTTGCGCAACATCACTTCCACTCACATTCTATTGGCCCAAACTCAGTCACATGGCCAGACATAAGCTGCAAAGAAGGCTGGGAATTATAGTTTAAAGCTGAGTTCAGCTAAAACTCACATAGTTCTATTACTAAAAGAAAGAAGCAAATGAATATCATAGGACATTTTGTTTTAAGGCTATCCACAAGTATGGTTAAGGTATCTCTTAAGATTGGACATGAAATTTCCTTAAAATTAGTCAATTCTTATAAGAGTAGAACAGATGATATAAGACTCTGAAAGATATATATTTGAAATAATTCTTAATCCATTAAATAATTACTATTATCATTAATTCAATGACATGCAGATTGAATTGGCCTTTGAATGTAAAGCAGGTGTCAAGAAGAGGCAGACAGAGTCTGGTGCAGGGTGGGCACCACCAAAAAGCAACAGAATGTGAGCAGACCCACTGGGCATCTGGTGGTGTTTTGAATCTGTATCAAACCATGATGACATGAAGGAAAAGACGTAACTTACACCTCAAGAAAACTGAGTTCCCAAAATATAATTGAATTCAGAAATGGTGCCTGTGGCTGTAAGAGATCCTATAGCAAGCACATTCCTCCACCAGGCATCTGATTCACAAAGTGCTCCCTGGCATCTAAGTAAATGGCCATTTACCTGAGGCTTAAAAATGAAAAAGGAATAAGAAATTTGGCCAGGAAATCCAGGCAGAGCAATGACAACTTGCTAAAGAGCTATTGCTTTAAGTTTTATTTCCCCAGCCACAAGAAATCATGAGCACATCAAAGAAAAATGTCAAAAGAGCTTTTGAGTTGTCTTGTAACAGCAGAATGATGCCTCCTTCCTGGCATATATCTGTGGTCCTCAGTGAAGCTACAAGTCTGTTTGTGTCCAAGTTTTAAGTAAAGGATCTAATTTAACAGAGGAAGCAATCCTGGTGTTATTGAACCCACTTTAATATTTATTTATACCCAAGGGTACAGGAACATTAAGTAGTTTCCTCTCCTTGAGAGGATATATTTGTAAGAGTGTTTTGTAAATTATAAATTATCATGCAAATGCTATAGAGATGTATGCACACATTCACATACATATTAATGTATATTAATACTCCCCAGGAGCACTGAGTAGTTTCCTCTACTTGAAAGGTCTCTGAGAAATATTATATATAATGGTGCCTTGTAAATACTAAAGGCCAACACACATGTAACTAGCTGGTAGTATTTTATTTGACTTTTTTCATCAAGAAAAGTATCTTGATTACATCAGGCCTTTGCACTCAGACCTGCCCATTGGAGGCACCACGTAAAAAAGGGACAGACAGATGCACCAATGGAAGCCAACCCACATAACAAGGACTTCCGAGATCCTGATGAAAACCATGATCTTTTGCCATTTCGATAAATGAGACTCTTAAAACTACCCTAAGAAGTTATGACTTGTTCCTTTTTGTGCCCTGACAAATCAAAGGAAATGATAGTAAGGTTTTCCTTGCTTCTTTGTTTAATAAAGTATCACATTTACCCCAAAATTTAAATAAATAAATAATAAAGCATTTAGACTCTTAGAGATTACAGGCAAATCGAATAAAGCAAGATAATCAAGATTGACAATAAATTATTATCGTTTTTTTCCATGTATAGACCAAGGACCCCCTCTACCACCACCAAATAAAAGAGAAAGAAAAAGGTCTAGAAAACTTGTAATAAAGCACATACTGCACACTGTCACCAGACTGTCTCAGAAGTGACAGAGATTTCAAGATGAAAAAAATACTGTTATGTTCAAAGCATTGCCGTAGACAGTATTTTCCACAAAAAGAATTACAATAAAAATATCCAAGTAGCAAAAAAAATTAATCCCCCAGCAGTCTATCCATGTCAAGAAATACTGAATGCTATCAAGTTCAAGTGCAACCTAGACTGCAAACCATCCTTTGGAGTTGGCTATAACAGCACTTGATCCTAAACTCTATTACACTTCAATATTGCACACTCTCTTTTTAAGGACTCCATAAAGACAGCTTCTTTAGAAGATTCACTGAAGCCAGCTTACCCCTTCATGTTGCCTAACTACACATGGCCAAATCACCAAACAGAGGGCTTGGCCTCCTCAGCTTTCCATCTGGGATCGTTGATTCCCTGCCAGGTCCTTGACTTCTATATGTTTGAATTTTATCCAACTCAAACTCTCTCACACTATACCCTGAGGTTCCTAACGTCCTTCCCATGCCTGATTTGACCTTTAAATCATACTTGGAGTTTATATCAGCAGTTTCAAGCCACAATCATTCAATTCAGCCAGAATATCACATTGGCTCATTAGTGATTGTGCAATTATTTGACATGCTATTGTGTTCTGCCTTTGTCTTATACAAATTACTGTAAAATAACAACTTAAATGTTGATATTTGTACCATAGGAGTGATCTGCACTAATATCAATGTTGGGGGCTTCTTCTTCAGCACCACTGCCCCTGCCCACTCCAGTCGTTAAGGATCCTCTGTTCAAGAGCCCTGAGAAGTGTTCCGGGCCATTAGAAAAGGAGTGGCCTCATTTGGAAGTCTAGATAGGATCTGGATCTCAGGACCAGAGCAGGCATCAAGTCCACCCACCGTACACACTGATGGGAAGAATAACCATTAGCACAGGGCACATGCAGGGCAGCCTTAGGGTCAGTTGAGGCTGTGGGGGCGGAAGGTACAGGGAGTATTTGTAAATTCTCTGTACTTTCTCCTCAATTTTGCTGTGAACCTAAGATGCTCTAAAGAAATAAAGTTTTTAATTTTTTAAAAATGTCAGTGGAAGATCTACAGACATTTGCTTTGCTCCCACATGGCTCCTTGGTGTCCACAATGCCCAAGGCTGGGCCATCCCCTGATGGTGACCACCTTTTCTTCTCCTCACATGGTTCCCCCAGGTTTGGTTCTCTACACTCAGACCCCACAGACCTTCCCTAAATGTATACCATCTATGGCAGGCAGAAAAATGGCCCCTAATAATGTCCTAATCCCTCAACCCTCTGAATACATTACGTTACATACATAAAGTAATTAATGTCACAGGTGAAGTTAAGGTGGCCAATCAACTGATCTTAATATTGGAGTTGGCCTAACATAGTCACAATGATTCTTACAAGTGAACAAAGAAGGCGGAAGAAGAGAATCAGAGACAGAGATTTGACGACAAAAGCGAGGTCATAGATATGCTATGTTGCTGGCTTTGAAAAATGGAAAAATGGCCATAAGTCAAAAAATGGGGACAGCACCTAGAAGTCAAAAAGTCAAGAAGGCAGATTTTCCCCTACAGCCTCCAGAAATGAATGAAACCCTGCCAACATCTTGATTTTAGCCCAGTGACACCAATTTCAGACTTCTGAATTATAGAACTATAAGTTAATAAATTTATATTGTTTCAAGCCACTAAATTTGTGGTTATTTGTTACAGCAGCAATAGCAACCTAATACACCATTATTCAGCTATTTCTTCCCCCTTTGCTCTCCTGTGATAATAGTTCTGAGCAATGCACATGTCTCTCACCAAGTAGAGGGGAGAGGCAGGTGGGGCACAGCAAGTGATACTTTAAGGAATTCTTTTGCTTCTTTAGTGATATGAAGTATATGTATCATAAGTTTTGTACACTTGGAACATTTTTCATGCCAAAACTGGCTGGCGAAGATTCTCTTCAAATCGGATGTCTCAATCAAACGTTTACTCAATTTAATACACAGACAGGCTGTGTAATTCATCAATGCTTTGTGGTGATGTAAAATCTTATGTAGTTAAAGAAATAGATATATAAATAGATATATACTTCTTTAAGATAATAAAATAACTCACTAGCTCTCAGCCCAAAGACCAGCTTAATAATGAGAAAATACTAGAAGCATTCTCATGAAGGTCAGAAACAAGATGACAATACGCTATCATCTCAATTATTTACTTAACATTTTTCTGGGGTACTAGCCAATGCAATCAACTAGTAGAAAAAAATTGGAGGTATAAAAATTGGAATGGAGAAGATAAAATTGTAATTATTTTGGGTTCAAGTCCAAGATGACAACATAGGAGGAACCTAACCTCATCCCACAGGCATATTAAATCTACATTTACACATTAAACAATTTTCTTTTAAAAAAATCCAAAAACTAGCTGAGCAAATTCTACGCATTGGATGAATGGGGAAAAAAACCTACATTAAAACTGGTGGGAAAGGCTGAAACACACTCTTGCCATAAACTCCACCCCTGGCACAATGACATGCAATCAAGAAGAAACTCACAACTCCTAGCTTCTCCCTGAAGAGTGAAAGGTTTGGAGCCAACATCCAGAGCCCCAATTTTTAAGACTATCACCTAAAGGACATCCCCCAAAACACCTATCTAAAAGCTAACAGAGCTTTTCATTCACAAGACTGACAAGACTATAGCAAACAAAGAAAGAGTTTTTAACAGGCTCTTGAGAACATGGTGTGTCTAGCCTCTCAGGGTTCAGTACAAAGGCAGCAGACAGAAATGCCAGTCTCCCAGTCTTTGCAGGTAAGAGGTCTGTTTGCATACTTTAAGATCTGCTACCTGAGGGTCAATCTTCTAATTTAGCATGCATCCTGGGACAGACAGAAATCCTCCCTGGAAATTGGGGAAGCCAATGGGTGCCATATTTATTCTCTCCCATTGCCCTGCTCCAGGTTGCTGATGTCTTTCTAAAAGGAGCTTGTACACATGTCTGATACCCTGACTTTTGAGGCTGTTGCCAGAGGAGCAACCCCTTTATAGCCTGGCTCTGATTGCCAGTGGGGCTTCAGTTCCAGGTTCCACAGAATTGTAGCAAACAAATAAATACTTCTTAACCAGCTAGCTATTCCCTAGGGCTCAGCACAGAGGGAGCAAACAGAAACACCCAGCCTCTGTCTTTCCCTGAAAGGGATCTACTTGCACACTTTAAATATGCAAAGTGTATTTTGCCTGAGGGTCCGGCTTCCAATTAGCTTGCATCTAGATGCTGACTGAGATCCTTCTCTTAGGGCATCTGATGAGTCTCGGCATACCCTCAACTACTGGGAGCCACTAACAACAAAGAAGGTGCTTGTACAATCACAATGGTTTGAGAGATAACCAAAGCTAAGGTCAGGCTGAACAATAAGATTCATTTCCTGTACAAGACAACCTTTTCATGACAGGGAGAAGTGGCCCTTTTATCTAAGGCACAGAAACCAGCACAGATTGTGTCAGGGAAAATAAAGAAACAAAGGAATACATTAATAACAAAAGAACAACATAAAACTCCAAAAACAGACCTTAATGAAATGGGCATAAGTGATTTACCTGATAAAGAGTTCAAAATAGTGTTTGTAGAGACGATCACCAAGATGAAGAGAATGACGAGCAAAGTGAATATTTCAGCAAAGAGATAGAAAATACTTTAAAAGTACCAAATAGAAGTCACAGAGCTGAAGAATACAATAACTGAACTGAAAAATATGCTAGAAGGGTCCAACAACGGAATAGATGAAACAGAGAAAGATCAGTGAACTTGGAAACAGGGCAGTGGAACTCACCCAATCAGAGCAGCAAAAAGAAAAAAGAATTCAGAGTAAAGATAAGTTAAGAAACTTATAAGATGCCGACAAACAAATCAACATTCATGTTCTTAGGGTGCTAGAATGAGAAGAGAGAGAGAAAGGGGCAGAAAACTGATTTGAAGAAATAAAGGCTGAAAACTTTCCTAACCTGGGGGAAAACAGACATCCACACACAGGAAGCCCATAGAATTTCAAGATAACTCAAAAAGACAGATACCAAGACACATTATAATTAAAATGTAAAAAATTCAAGACAAGGAAAAAATTTTAAAAGCAGAAAGGGGAAAACAACGTGTTATGTACAAGGGAATCCCCCAAAGACTATAAGCAGATTTTTCAGCAGAAAATTTGCAAGCCAGAAAGTGATGGCACTATATACACAAAGTGCTGGAGGAAGAAAACTTCCAACCAAGAATACTCTACCTGGCAAAGCTGTCATTCAGAATAGAGGAGAATAAAGAGTTTTCCAGACAAACAAAAGCAAAAAGAGTTCGTTACCACTAAATCGGTTTTACAGAAAAATGTTAAATGATCTTCTCGAGGATAAAAAGAAAGAGAGGTAATTAGTACCAGGAAAACATAAGAAAGTATTCATGTGAAGGGATGGAAAAAGATATTTATTCAATAGGAAACCAAAAGAATGCTAGCGTAGCTATACTTATATTAGACAAAATCAGCTTTAAAACAGACTGTAATAAGACACAAAGAAGGTTAAGATGTAATGCTAATTGAGCCAATAAATAAAAAGATATAACATTTGTAAATGATTATGCACCCAACATAAGAGCACATAAATATATAAAACTAATATTAACAGATCTAAAGGAGGAAATAGGCAGCAGTAATAGGGGATTTAATATAAAACATTTGTCAGTTGATAGATTATCCAGACAGAAAAATCAATAAAGAATCCACAGCCTTAAATGACATGTTATACCAGATTAAATTAACAAATATATACAGAACATTTAATACAAAAGCAACATAATACACATTCTTCTCAAGTGCACAAAGAACATTGTTCAGGGTAGATCATATGTTAGACCACAAAGCAAGTCTTAATAAATTTTAAAAGATGAAAATAATATCAAGAATTTTTCCAACTACAACGTTATGACTAAAAATCAATTACAAGAAGAAAACAAAAAAAAATCACAAATATGTAGAGATTAAACAATGTGATACTCAACAACCAATGGTTCAAGAAAGAAATTAAAAGAAAATAAAAAACATACCTTGATACAAATGAAAAGAGAATTATAATATATCAAAACTTATGAGATGCAGCAAAAGTAGTTCTAAGAAGGAAATTCATAGCGATAAATGCTTACCTCAAGAAATAAACAAAAACATCTCAGTGATCTAAATTGACACCTCAATGAACTAGGGAAAAGATCAAATGAGCCCAAAGTTAGTAGAAGGAAAGATCAGAGTGAAAATTAATGAAATAGAGACCAAAAAGACAATAGAAAAAAATAAGAGTTTGTTCTGTAAAAAGATAAGCAAAATTGATAAGCTTTTAACTAGATTTATTAAGAAAACAAGGGGACTCAAATAAATAAAAATTGAAATGAAAAAGGAGACATTGTAACTGATACCTCAGAAATATAAAGAATCATAAGAGACTATTATGAACAATTATATGCCAACAAAATGGACGACTTAGAAGAAATGGATAAGTTCCTCAAAACATACAATCTACCAAGACCGAATCAGGAAAAAAATAGAAAATCTGAACAGACTGATTACTAATAAAGAGGTTGAAAAAGAAGTAAAACTAATACTATTTGCAGATGACATTATATGTATGTATATGCGTGTATATATATATACATATATATGTATAAATATTTAAAAACCCAAAAGATTCCACAAAAAAAACTGTTAGATTCATAAGCAAATTCAGTAAAGTTGCAGAAAAAATATCAATGTACAAAAATATGTTGCATTTATATATAATAATAAGGGTGTATCAAAAAGAGAAATTAGAAAACAATCTCATTTACAATTGCATCAAAAAAAATGAAATACCTAGGAACAGTTTTAAAAAGTGAAAGACCAGTACACTATAAACTACGAGACATTGATGAAAAAAATTAAAGAAGATATAAATGACTGGAAAAGTATTTCATGCTCATGGATTGAAAGAATTAATACTGTTAAAAGATCCATACTACCCAAAGCAATCTACAGATTCAATGCAACCCCAACTCAAATTCTAATGGCATTTTTCACAGAAATAGAACAAACAATTCTAAAATTTGTATGAAATCATAAATGACTCTGAATAGCCAAAGCAACCTTGAAGAAGAAGAACAAAGCTGGAAGCATCGTGCCTCCTGATTTCAAATTATATTATAATGCTGCAGTAATCAAAACAGTACAGTGTTGGCATAAAAACAGATGCAGATCAATAGAACAGAATAGAGAGCTCAGAAATAAACCCATGTTATAGGGTCAATTAATTTATGGCAAAGGAGACAAGAACATACAATAGAGAAAAGGACAGTCTCTTTAATAAATCGTATTGGGAAAATTAGACAGACACATGCAAAAGGATGAAACTGGACCATTATCTTACACCATACACAAAAATTAACTCAAAGTGAATTAAAGACCTGGATGTGAGATGTGATACCACAAACTTCACAGAAGAAAACATAGGTGGTAAACTCCTTGACACTAATATTGGCGATGATTTTTTAGATTTGACATCAAAAGCAAAGGCAGCAAAAAGAGACCAAGCAAGAGAGAGGCTGATAAAGATGGCGTAGAATGTAGAGGCTGTGCACACCTCCTCTCATAACCACACCAAAATTATAACAAAGCAACCAGCAGGCAGAGTTGCCCAAGGTCTGGCTGAACAGAAGCCCTACAACTAGAGACAAAGATAAGAGATCACCTCAAACCGATAGGAGGGGCAGAGAAGTGAAATGGCCCTGTCCCATGATCGCATGTGGCAATCAAGAATCAGGCGAATTATCTTTGTTGCAGAGCTCCCTCCCTCACCTGAGGAGCAAGGAGTCCTGGCCCCACACTGGGCTCCCCAGCCCGGGTTCCAGTGCCAGGAAGAGAAGTCCCCACAGCCTCTGACAGTGAAAACCAGTGGAGATTGTGTCTGAGTGAGACAAAGGGCTGAGGGAGTCGCAGACATTCCTCTTAAAGAGCCCATACCTGGATTTATTTACTGATGGACTCAATAGCTCTGAGCTCCAGCCCCGAGGCAGCCATTCAAGGAGACATATGGGAAGACACTGTGTTTTGGGGCTTCAGGATGAGGGCTGAAGGGGCGCCTCTTTCCGAACAGAAGTGCTAACAGTATTCATTGTTCCTTTGTTGAGCTGTCCCCCTTCCCAGCATGCCATAGCTGAGTTGCCATCAACCTGGATAACACAGGTCACTGCTTCCAGGCGATTCCCTGAGACTCTGCCTCTCCCAAGTTGTGGGCCCACCCAAGCCCCTTTCGGCAGTTTATTCTATACAAATGGCCTGTCTTGGCTCTTGCTTCAGACTTTCCTAAAAATCTCTCAAAAGCTCACAAACCCAAAGAGACAGCATCTGGCCTTGGTGTGCCCTGAACCTCTTGCTGAGCAGCCCCAAGCCCCACACTAGTGGTAGCTGGCCTCGGTTTCTGGCTTGGACTTTCAAGGCACCTATAAGCCCAGCATGGGTGTCAGCCATTTGTGGATTGCTAGGTGACTCTTACCAGGTGGCCCTGGAGGTGCACAGACAGCAACTGAATTTGACCTGCAGCTGGACCCCTCCCAGGACTGTGCCATTTGGCCCCAAAGAACACCTACTACATAAAGCCACTCTACTAAGACTGGGACACATAGGCGCCATATCCAGTACATAGAAATAGATACAGAGAGGCAGCAAAATGGGAGGAAAAGAAGCATGTTGCACATGAAAGAATAGAACAAAGCTCCAGAAAAAGAACTCAACAAAATGAAGACAAGCAATCTACCAGATGCAGAGTTAAAAACACTGATTATAAAGATGCTCAATAAACTTAGGGAAAAAGTAGATGAACTTAGTGAGAACTTTAACAAAGATATAGAAAACATAAAAATAGAGATGGAAAACATAAAAGGGAATAGTCAGAAATGAAGCATACAATATCAGAGATAAAGTGTACATTAGAGGGAATCGATAGATTGGATGAAGTGAAGGATCAAATCAGCGATTTAGAGTATGGGGTACATACTCTAAAATCAGAACAATCAGAACAGCAACAAGAAAAAAGAAACCAAAAAAATGAAGATAGTTTAAGGAGCCTCTGGGACAACATCAAGAGTAAAAATGTTCACATCCTAGGGTACAAGAAGGAGAAGAGAGAGAGCAAGAAATTGAAGACCTATTTGAAGCAATAATGACAGAAAACTTTCCTAATCTGGTGAAGGAAATAGACATTACAATCCCAAGTTCAGAGAGTCCCAAACAAGATGAATCCAAAAAGGCCCATACAAAAACACATCATAATTAAAATGCCAAAGGTTTAACACAAAGAGAGAATCTTAAAAGCAGCAAAAGAAATATAGTCAATAATACTGTAATAAATAAGTACAATGTCAGAAGGGTGCTAAATTTATTGGGATGATCACTCTGTAAGTTATACAGATGTCTAATCACTATGTTGTACACCCGAGACTAATATAATATTGTATACCAACTATAATTAGAAAATAAAAATATTATTAAAATAATAATAATAATAAATTAAAAGCAAAGATAACTAAGGCAAAAATAAACAAGTAAGACTATATCAAGCTAAAAACCTTCTGCACAGTAAAGGAATCCATCAACAA